TAAATTCTACAGGAATTTCGTGAAAAGGAGATTACCTCCAACTACGAGGACGTGATGGGTTTTAAATATCTTAATTGTTTCTTGTTTCAGCTTCAAATTTCATTTGTAGTATATATTCTAGTCCTAGCATAGGGATTCTTATTTACATAAGAAAAAGGTGTTAAATTAATGACCACTGAATACAATTGACATTCAGGAAGATGCACTTATTTATTCAGGGTCCACATCTACGTGTACCCCAGTTCAGTAAGCATGGTCCTAGAGCCATAAGTGACATTTGCCCAATGCACTTTCGTTGTTCACCTTAGGGAAATTGCTTAGAGGGCTTCATATACAAGCGGCATTATCAGAATCCAGGTCACCCGGATGAACTCTATAAAATATATGGTATCTTGGAGGAGACTGAAGCAAAGAAGTGCTAATCATAATGCTCAGTTTCCAAGTATTTATTCAAACTAAGATCTTGCCTAACAAGTTACTTGATCATTTGTCTTAATGATTGTGTTACACGTCACCACAGAAGTAATTTCACAAATTGCACATTGTTCTTCAGAGAGCTTATCTAGTAAACTTTATAGACCAGTAAGTGAGTCAGACTCACATGGTAGCAAAGTAACTTCAGAGGCAGGGCAGATCCTAAGAGATATTTAGATATTTCAAAAATATCCAGTGGGGGGGGAGCGGAAATTATCCAGTGAAAGAGTTACCAAAACATAAGAGAATATCTAATTATATAAAAATGTTAAATTACTATTAAAACATATAGAGTATATAAGTTAGTTACCTTACAATAAATTAATTATAATTTTTAAATTGATATTGTATTTTTAAAAAACTGCTAAAAATATTACACATGCAGACAATATAGGAATATATAAACAAAAAGTAAAAGCCTCCATCTCTGTGCCCTACACAACATGAACCATTAGCCAGTGTGTGCTTTTCTAGATGTTTTTCCTGACTACAATCACAGATATGTGTATGTTAAATTTTATTTATTTGTTTATGTATTTATTTATTTTACAAATTGATAATACATATAGTTCTATAGTTTGCTTTTTTTTTTTTTACTCAACATATGGGTATACCTTTTCATGAGCACTTCACATTTTCTTTACCTGTGATCCAGTTGATAGACATCTAGAGTATTTCCAATTTTTTATCCTTTCAAATACTACCTTTTACATTTTATTTTGTACTTCTAATTCATGAGATGATTAGAAGTATCACTTGAAGTATTTTAAGATCTAAGTATAAATTCTTTTAACAAAGAATAAAGTTTATGATAAATCGGCTGTCCTTTGGACATCATTGGAGAAGGGTTAATCACAAAAGAAGATTATTATTAAGTGGTTTTACCCAAAAATTGTTCCCATGATATAATCAGAGGATATAGTAGATCTAATTCCATGTACTTGATAAAGTAAGTAAACCCCAAAAGGGGCATGGTTAAGGGGGGAAGGACAAGGAGGCCTAACTAAGGTCAGCATTTGTTTTTTAATTGAAGTAACATTAATAACATTATATAAGTTTCAGGTGTACAACATTAGCATTCAATATCTGTATACACTATAGCGTGCTCACCACCAAAAGTCTAGTTTCCATCCATCACCCTATATTTGATCTCCTTTATCCATTTTGCCCTCTCTCCACCCAAGGTGAGTATCTTGAATAAAGATGATATCTTACTTTCAAATGTGTCTTTAAAAAAAAGCAATTAAAAAATATTTTCGATCTACATTGAGTCATGAGCCATACATGTCTTATTAACATTTTGAACAGTCATATGTCAGCATGTGAAAAACTTTGACCTCTTCTGGTTCTTTCTTGGTGAAGGGAATCATCATCATCACTATTATGTTACAATGCGTGTTCTTATGAGTAAGTTGAGCCACCCCTGGGCCACTGGACCAGAGTGGGTTGGCCCCCAACAGTGAGTAGACTAAACTATAGCTTTAGTCCAAGAATATGGAAACTGACAACAAATTATTGCTTGTGGTCTACTTCCAGTTTTCAAGTGCAAACATACGAAAGTTTATTTTAAATTTGAGCCAGTCAGACATTTAGTAATATACATCAAAGGAGAAGTGAAGGCTTCCCATGTTTATTATTTCAATATGATGTCTGTTCTAATAAAGTAGAAGAATGCATATGATAGACCATGGAGTAGAAATTCTCTAGGTCTATAGTTTGGCCTTAAATATATACATATATTTGTAAATTAATCTAAAACACATTGCCACGGTTCCAATTCTTCTGAAAGCTGATTGTTTTCCATCCCTTTTTTAATTTTAGAAATAGAGTGGCTGTCTGCCAGAACACTTTCAGATAAACAGTCCACTTCATGTATAAAAGGGGCATAGAATCATGAATGTTCAAAAACCACAGAATGTTATTTAAATAAGTTAAAGTTATTATGGTCTTCTCTATTAATTAAAAAAAAAGCCATCTGTGCAAGGTGAATTTTGGTAAGGTCCCAATTTTTTTAATGATTGTGGATGGAATTTGCAACTGCTTTCATAGTGAAAGTACAGGGCAGGGATTCCCAAGATGAAATGCACAGTTTATGTAATTTTGTGGTCATTTGACTAAATTTCTAATAAAACATTAGAAAATATTCTTCTTATTCAGTCAAAATTTACAGTCATATGTGAATGAATTGGTTCGCCAGTAACATCACCTTTCTACTATTCTACTTCCTTAACATCTCTGCCTCTCTCTTTCTCTCTCCCTTTCCCTCTCTCTCCCTTTCTCTCTTTCTTCCTCCCCCTCTGTCTCTATCGCTCTCTCTCATACTCACACACATACACACTCAACAACCCACATTTTGTCTGAACTATCTTGGGCATTGCATCACAAGAGTGAGCAAGACTAAACACACACACACACACACACACACACGCACGCGCACACACACACACATGCATGACATAAAGAAACAGCACACTAGACATTGTTACTAATGCAGAGCTATACACTCATGTAACAAGTCTTTTTTTTCATTTTTATTTTTCTCTGCAGAATTTATTTCCATTGGGCAAATAACCTATAAACCTAGGCTTTCAAAATCTTAGAAGGACATCAAAGTCAAAAGGTGCTCCTCCCTTGAATGTGGCAGGAAAATACCATGACGAGAAGGAGTTGGGGATTTTTTTTTATGTTGGTGGTGGTGTCATTTTTGCCCCAACCTGTGTTTTCAGTCAATTAAAATGTGTACCCTAGGCCTTTTCCAGTGTGAAGCCACCCCAGCGTCTGTGATGAGCAATCTTTCTTGTTTGTGCAGTCATTCATTATCTCCATTACCAAAAGGAGAATAGAGGACAATTACATTGCTTGGACGAATCAGAGTGTTAGGAGGAATATTTGTCATGGTGGCAGAGTGCAGTACCTGACAGGCAACGATTGATGGCCAGGAATGAGTGTGAGTGGCCAAAGCAGCCTCATAGGATGCAAATTACTGACTGTGGATTCCAATTTATCCTGTTCATTTTTCTTGCCCGTGCTGAAGACCATTAGTGGTTTTTGAAGCAGTGAAGGGGTCATTACTAATGTGGGGAGGCTCGAAGCAGGAGGGGGAAGGAGGGGAAAAGCCTTCTGTAATTACACAGCTTTCAGGAACAGGCTGGAGGCCCCAGCCAAAAAAGTGTCAACACCTCACAATCAGAAAAATTTATTTTCATTTTATGCTTAACCCATATTAACTCAACATTATCATCTTTCTTTGTTAACATTTGCCGAATATTAAAAGCCTGGCTTCTATATTAATACAAATCTAGTTAACCCCTTTTGCTATAAGGGGATTTTGTTTAACCTAATGGCATTTGGGTTTGCTAATAAGTGATTGCGCACATTTTGGATAATGGACGCTATTATGGAAGATGAAATACCTGGAGAATAAAATCTTAGATGATTGAAAAACACTCCCTCTCTCAAACATTGGAATGACTAGAAGGCTCTGAATGGAATACATTGTTGTCTCTGATGTCACCCTTTCATAATGTGCATGGGAAATATTTATGACTAAAAGGCTTTCTCATATATGAATGACTTTGACATGCTGGATAAAAGTTTACTTTTCTGTTTAAGAAAACCAATGAATTTAGAGCAGGGACCTATTTAACGGGCATGTTTCGTAATTATGTACATGTCAGCGCAGTATCTCAAAGTAAATGTATGATTCTCAGAGGAAAGTGGTTTGATGATGGGAAGATGGCTTGTTATAAATGTTGGTGAATTGTGGTGGGAAGTAAAGAATTAAAAAAATACGGAAACCTATGGCTTCATTCTCTTATTGCCACACTTGAAGGTAAAATGTAAAATTTCTATATGAAGCATTGCATGTAATTGATGCCTTTGGATGTGTGGTCATAGTGTGTGGCCCTAGCCTACAGCAGTAACCAGGGAAAATGAAAGAGTCTTCCACTGTCCCTCAAAGGAGTGAACATAAATATACTGTCAGTAAACTCTATTGTAATCGAATCGATTGCTATGGCTTCCAAGGATAGTTGTGATTATATACTATCTCACGTTCCAAACTTTTACTGTCAATAACCTCAGATTAACTAGGCAATAATGATTATATTGAGCCATCTCACCAAGATAACGTAGAATAAGGGCTTTACATAGGTTTTCTAGGAAGCAAAGTGAAACGGGGCCTAGACTAGTTCCCTTAGTGTATCTGAAGTGATTGTCGATCACCAAAATTCTGACACCATCACAAAAGCACTTTACATCCTTGACTGATTAAAGAAATTGAATGACTGAAACACCTCTTTTTACTGCTAGCCCTCCAAAGTGTGGCAGGAATGGGGGGGGGCATGGGGAGGAATATAGGCTTCTGGATTCCTGTCCCATATTCTCCACAATGTGATACAAAAACTGTGATTAGGAAAATCAAGCCATAGACTGAAGAAATCATAAATGATGGTTTCATTCTTAGAAGTAAGTGACTCTTTCTTAACTTGTGATACATCTTTTAAAACATTTGTTTTTTTTATTAG